ACCCACAACCACACCACACCACAGGGAGGGGGAGGAGGAACCATTGGGGGGAGAGGGGGGGGGGGCCGGCCGAACCGGGATCATATATATATATATATATGTGTGTATCTATTTGTTTGTCTATATATACACATACATATATATATATATATATATATGTATGTATATTTATGTGTGTGTATATATATATATATATGTTGACACATAGTCTAATAGTCATAGCAAGCGAAACAACTCCAAAACGCAACCACAACGAAGCCACCCTAGGCCCTAAACCCTGAACCCTACAAAATGCCCCCTCCCTCATCTTCTCCAGGACGTAGAGCGTGCCTTTTTGTTCCAACATCTGGCTGCGCTGCTTCGTTGACGACAAGCAGCCTATGGAGGCGTGACAGAATGCCTGCAAGGTGTGACCAGTAAAGCAATTAAGAACCCCGGGACCCCTGACGGGATCAGGATAAGTTTCTCATGGGGAAATTGAAGGCTATGGCTGTGTCAGGTCAATGAGTCTCCCGGAGGCGGTGCCAAAGCACTAGGCGAGGAGTCTTCATGGGCGGCCGCTGACGCAACAGTTATTGACGGAGACATCCAGCGAAGAAGCAGAGGAGTATATGCTGGAGGCAAAGAAGTAATGGAGCCGCGCCGGCCTGCGTTGCAGGAGCTGAACAGTCGGCGCAGGCGCAAGCTGGACGCACGGGCGCCGAAGTTCAGGTCAAGCACTGATATAGAACCCTAAACCCTAAACCGACCCTAAGCCTAAACCCTAAACCCTAAACCCTAAACCCTAAACCTAAACCTAAACCAAAACCGATATAGAACTCCACAGTGGCCAAAGCAGAGAAGTCCGCGGTCAGAGGGCCGGATGAGAATGCGGCGGTGGGCCTTGCTGGCCTTAAGCTGGCTTTGGGCTCTTTGCATTCAGGATTTCGGAACAATACCCTCACCCTCAAAGGTTTAGGGTTTAGGGTTTAGGGTTTTGGTTTAGGGTTTGGTTTAGGGTTTAGGGTTTAGGACTCATATTTTGAGGTTTTTGGCCCCAAAGGCCCTATTATACAAGGCTTTTGGGCTATTTTGATGCTAAAGGATGCACAGAAGCCTTAGCAATATTGGTTCAGGGTTTAGGGCTTGGGGGGACAGCTTCCAAGCGTGTCAGGTAAACCATTGCACTATAGCCCTAGGCCCTAAACTTGGACAATATACCTGAAAAAGCAAACCCCCAACCTCAACGGTGCATGGTCTCTTCGATGCTTCCGAGATGTTGATCCACAAGGCTTCTTGCTCCGACAGGTGAAGCAGCGGAATATTAGCTTCAAGCGCAGCAGCACGATAACCAACCCTAAACCCCAAACCCTAAAGCCGCACACCTGAACGCCAAAGCTAAAAACCCTAAAACCCTGAAAGGATCGGGCACTCACGAATTAAGGTCCTTCGGTTGGCCTGAGAGTTCCGTTTCTGAAACCCTGAAAAAGAAAGCACTAAAACCCCAAAACCGGAAAACCCTGAAGCCCTCAACCCTGAAGACTTCCGAAAATCAATAGCTCGGCAGGCGGGGCATCGTCCCCACAGCCAAGTTATCTACGGTTTTGCGTTTAGGGGTTTCGGGGTTTAGGGGTTTAGGGGTCTAAGGCTTTAGGGTTCGGGGATTCAGGGTTGCGGGGTTGTGAGGTTTAGGGGTTCAATTCAGGGGTTTAGGAGTTAGGGGTCTAGGGCTTAAGGTCTACGAGCGTCTGTCTGTCTATCTGTCTGGTTGTATGTCAGTCTGTCCGTCTTTTTGTCCATTCGTCTGTCTGCCGGTCTGTCGGTCGGTCTGTTTGTCCAAGCTCGCTATCCATCTGCGCCGGCACGAGGTTTCGAACATCCCCCACTCGTATGTTGGCTGCATCGAAGGCAGCTCCCGCCCCTCCGCTCACCATGAGCTGTGCCAGCTCCTCAGAGGACTGGGGGAGTGCGGCGCCTCCAACCGAGTCGTGATTGCTCATGACACGCTTGACTGACTTCTGAACGGCTGCATCATCCATCTTTTGGGCTTTGTCCTGGAACTCCAAACTCCCTTTCTTGGCAAGCGGGTAGTAATTGTAGATCATGTCCTCCTTGGTGATGGCAATCCGGAGGGGCGTTTTGGCGGGACCTTTCAAGTCCGAGATCACGGTGCCCTCCTTCACCTGTGCAGACAATGCATCCCATTTCGCTTGAGCTTCTTCCTCTGTCAAGGCTCCGCCTTCAATGCTCTGGTAGAAAAGCAAAGACTGTCGCTCATCCCCAAAGGGGCTTAAATAGGGCTTAAGGAGATAAAGGCCTAACGTATAGGTGCCTACTGGGAGACCCAGTTGCTTACTAAGTCTCATGGTCCTCTGAGACATGGCCCTACACCCTATAAGCAGCTGAACCCTAGGCACGCGCCCAGAATCGGTTTAGGGTGTAGGATTTTAGGGACTTTTTGGTTCAGGGGTTAGGCTGTAGGGATTTTGGGTTTTTGGAGTTTTGCACTGAAGCCGTAAACCCAAATCCTGAGTCCTTAACCGCGAATCGCACATCCTGAGCCGTATCAGTCAGTCTCCAGCCTTTGTTGCTGGGGACCCGGCTAAGGAAAACCAGATGTAGCGCCATGGGTCATAGGCCCCCTGCATTGGGCTTCAGATCCCTAAACCCTAAACCCTAAACCCTAAACCCTAACTACGTCAGGGGTAGCTGTTACGGTGCAGGAGTCCTTTAAGGCTCATTTTAATGAGGTCTTCTAAGAGGTTGCGGGTTTTAGGGGTTTGGCAGAGCTTACAAGTGAAGTAGTAGGATTTAGGGTGTAGGGCTTAGGGTTCAGTTTATGGCATTGATGTACTGAGGTTGTTTCGAGTTTAGCATGTTGGGGATTAGGGATATGTATAAGGGATGTTCCTTACTTAAGGGGGCTTTGGAAGATCTGCCTTAACCCACCAGAACCTTCTTTTTTGTAGGACGCCTATAAACCCCATACTAGGGTCTATACTAAGAACCTACAAGAAAGTGGGCTTTGGTGGGTAAACCCACACCCCAAGCCCTAAACCCTATTCATGAAGGGCCCAGGAGTCCCCTCATCATGCAAGCCCCCGAGCTCTAGAGGAGAAGCCCAAACGTTGGAAACCCAATAGCCTCTTAAGATCCTTAAGAGTAAGGCATAGGGAATCCGAGCACTAATTGTCCTTAACCCTAAACCCTAAACCTTGATCCGGTTTCCAACTTTTTGGGGTTTGCTCTAGACACCCCGAACTCCTAAGCCGCCAAAGCCCAAACTAGGCTACCTGAAGGGTCGGGGGACTTAGTAAGTAGTTACTTTATAGACTTATAAGTACTAGAGTCCCACTTAGGATCCCGTTGAGGGTACTTAGTCTACTTATTACCTACTTACTGAGTCCACCGACCCTCCAAGTAGGTGAAAAGTAGACGAGCTAGACTTATAAGCCCCACAGAAGGGATTAACATTTGGGTTATGATACTTCTAACTTACAGGTCTGTAAAGTAACTATGGTTTAGGGATTAGGGTTTCAAGAATCTATAAAGCAACTACTGAATAAATAAGTCCCCCCGACCCTCCAAGTATCCCAGTGCTCCACCTGGCCTGCATCGTCAGCGAGGAGAAGTCGTACTCACGGAAAACACCCCAGTAGTCCTCAGCACGGTTAAGGTTTAGGGTTTAGGGTTTAGGGTTTAGGGTCTCCACTGCCCTGAAGGCTTTAGCGGGTGTGGGGCTTAAGTACAAGGCGTTGAGTATTCAAGGTGTATAGAGCTTGGTCCCTAAACCCTAAGCCCTAAAGGCCCTAAACCCTAAACCCTGGTGAACGTAGGGGTTGAATTCGCGGCTTTGGGGTGTAGAGTTTGGGCTGTAGGATTTTGAGGATTCAGAGCTGAAGCCGCGCCCTGGTTAACCGCTGACGCCCCCGGTATTCCTGAGGAGATGCTCGGGTTTGGGTTTAGGGTTTAGGGTGTAGGGTTTAGGGTGTAGGGTTTATGGTTTAGGGTTTCTATGATTTCTCTCATTTCGGTCGATCCTGCCTGAGTCTGGTTTCGGGCGGTTGCGGGTTGAATCCCAGATGCTCTATGCCCTGCCTTTGAACATCAAAGTCCGAAACATCGCAGGTACAGGCAAAGGCTGATATCAAGGTGTTTATGGCTTCACGCGGTGCTGATGTCTGTGAGCATCCGAGCTGTGACGATGATGAATATGAGCATGAACAGTAGTAAATAGTGGGAAGATGACGAGGTGATGATCACGTTGATAACTGTGATGGTGATGGTGGTGATCATGATGATGCTTTTGACATGATGATGCTGGTGGTGGTGATGATGATGGTGATGAAGAGCACGATACTGATGATGATGATGATGATGGTGATGATGATGATGATCATGATGATGATGATGATGATGATGTGATGATGTACCCCTGAACCCTAAACCCTAAACCCAGACCCAACAGTTCCTGACTTGAAGATGCCCTCAATGGAAAGGCCCAAGAGATATCATCCAAGTCTCGGGAAAGCCGCCGCAGATGGGGTTCCTTGGCACGGTGTTTAGTTTAGGGCTTGTAGGGTTGGTTTTGGGTTTATAGGGTATAGGGTTTAGGGTTGTGGGTTTAGGGTTTAGGGTTTAGGGTTGGGAAGACCAGCTTGCAGCGGCACCCTAAACTCCTACACCCAAAACCCTGAGCTCTAAACCCTAAACCCTAAAAACACACCCTTAACCCTGAGCTGCAGCAACACCTCCAAAGGGCTTCTATACGGTTGAGGGCTTCAGGGGCTTATAAAGCCGGGGCCTGACTTCCTGTAGTTAAAAGCAGCTGACTTAGAACACGACTGACTATGCAAGACCGACACTCATGAACTGTTTTGGTGACCAGCTTCTACAGCCCTAAGGGTCCAAGTGCTCAAATAGTAGGGTTTCTCAAGGTCAAAAAACCACTCAGAGCATGGATTTTGGGACTCTAATTCTGTTCTGCACTTAGGAGCTAGGATTGGGGGGACCCTTGGCGAGAAAGACCCCTTCAGAAAGGGACGCCATAAGCAGGGTTAAGAAGGGTCCCGTTTAAGGGGTCTCCCTAGTACTACCTAGGAGAACTGAGCCCTAAACCCTAAACCCTAAATCCCAAACGCTGAAACTGACATGAACTGGCCATGCCCTAAACGTAGCGCCCTTCGGTCCCACGAGCCGTGTTTTGCGGCCAGTTTGCTATGGGTTTAGGGTTTGTTGGGATTTTAGGGGTTTAGAGCATCGGGTTTGTTGGGATTTTAAGGTTTAGGGCTTCGGGGGGATCTAAGTTTTGTACTACCCTGCTGATTGTTGGTGGGAGTGGTTGCTGCCTCGATGAGTGAGTGAGTGAGTCAGCCAGTCAGTCAATACGTAAGTAAGCAAGCTAGAGAGGTAAGGCAAGGTGAGGTAAATGAAGGCACGGCGAGTCATTACATGGCAGGGCAAGAAAGGTTCGTCTCGCTGTTAGGGTGCAGCGTGGTCCAAGTACGCAAATGGGCCATATGGCACCAAATAGAACGTGCTTGGGGGCCAAAAAGTGAATGCTGCCTGAACATACTCTCAGGCACGTTCTGACCAGTCTGGGAAATCTTTCTGTATATACCCCAAATGGCCCCCCAAATTGTAAAGATGCTGAACTCCAAACACCAGGCTCTGAATCATCACCAAGAGACCGGTAATACTTGCAGTAGTACGTGCAGAAACTCTGAGGCACCCTGGCGCACAGCTGTTGGCTTGTCGGGTTTAGGATTTCCCTATGCCCCCGAAACCCTGCGAAAAAAATAGGCCACTCCCTTTCTTGGAGGGTCGGGAGATTTAGTAAGTAGCTATTTTATACACTTATGAGTATCATAACCCCAATTAGAGTGGCGTTTAGGTTATTTTGGAACGGTTTAACGATCCGGTGTTCGGGCTCTTGATATAGCGTGAGAAGTTAGACTAAGGTTTAGGGTGGGGGTGCTTGGAACGTTGGGGGACTTAGTAAGTACCGATGTTAAAGAGCTATAAGTATCATAGCCCTCGATATGGATCCTTCTTTGGGGCACTTGTAAGTCTGCTCACCAAAACACCCTAAACCCTAAACCCGAAACCCTAACCCTAATCCGCACTTGGACCTGGCTTGTAAATATGCCCCGCACTTCCCGATCTCCCTCACGGTTTAGGGGTTAGGGTACTTCCCGATCTCCCTCACAATAGCCCATGTATTCATGGTCCCTATATAGGTGCACTAGGGCCAAGGCATATGCTGTGGGAACATGGGCATTTCAGGAACGTGGATCCAAAGCTGCACGGAGTTCACTTCGTTGCTGAGCTCATCAGCACAAAAAGGCGTACACTTTAACAGTTCTATAACGGATCATATTGTCCCAAAAAGTTTAAAGTGTACTCATTCAGCTAGTAAGTTCACCAAAGTAAGTGAATATGACGTCGCACAGACTTGCTTGGGAATTGAGGATTGCGCTTGGCGCTACTTCGAGGATCAAAACAGGTTACACTATGAAGGTCTAATGCTCGGCTGTCAATTTGCCTGATTCTTCTCCTGTGCCACGGGATACAAATCCTAGAAACAAGGAGTATTCTGGCCTCGTTGAGGGTGTTCCGGGGTTCAGGGTTTGGTGGCATAGCCCGCAACGAACCCTAAATCCTAAACCCTAAAACCCCAAAGTTCTAAACCCGAAAACCCACAAGCCCACAACGATCCCTAACTCCTAAATCCTGAAACCCCAGAGTTCTAAACCCGAAAACCCACAACTGATCAAGCAAGCAAGAGCGGCTCCCGGAAAGTAGTCATGTCACTGAGGACGCACCCACACATGCCCTGGCTGGAAGAAAGTTCATGCTTTGTTTTTTTTAGGGTTTAGAGCTTAGGCCTTATAAGGGGATTTAGGGCTTGGAGCTTAAGGGTGTACGGTCTAGGGTTTAGGATTTGAAGAAAGTGGACGCTTTGTTTTTAGGGGTGAGAGCTTTGGGCTTAAGGGGATTTAGGGTTTAGGGTTTTGGGTTTAAGGCTTTAGGGTTTAGGGGTTTTGGGGCCATGTGACCGCCTTAGTAACGAAGGTTATCTTTGTCAATTAGGATTCTGAATCATTCTGATTACAGCCACCGTATTTCTCAGGTGAGCACATTCATCGATGCCGGGTTTCTCTCTTTGTAGCCCTAGTTACCAACTGCCAAGATCCTGTACAGCCCATAAGCCTGCTACCGCCGAAGAACGCATCAGAAACCCAGAACCACTTCGTTGCAAAAAAAGCCAGGCCGCAACACCGAAGAGTTCATGTCGGCATACGATGACTACAACTCCAAATCGGCTTAGGGTTTAGGGTTTAAGTATCAAGCCCTAAGCCCTAAACCCTAAACCCTAAGCCCCAAACCCTCAACCCTGGCCCTAAGCACTAAAACCCAAAACCGAAGCCCTAAACCCCAAGCCCTAAATGCCGGCTGGGTGCTTTCCGCCGGGCCCGCTGAGACCAAAGGGTTCTCTCCAGGCCGACAGCACCTCCAGCAAGCGGGGTTTAGGGGTTCAGGGTTTAGGGTTGAGGGTTTAGGGTTTAGGGTTGAGGGTTTAGGGTTGAGGGTTTAGGGTTCCCAGAAGTGGGGCTCAGGGTTTTGCCAAGGTTGTTGATACGGTCTTATTCCTCTCTTCCTTGGTCTTGCATGCGTTTGTTGCAGGGTTCGTCGGATTGAAAAATGCCGGAGTTGTATGAGATGTTTATCTTCTGAGCGTGTTTAGGGTGTCGTAGACGGCTCGGGTTACATAGCGATTCCAAGCCCACAAGTTTCAGTTAAAGCTGAGTGAACGTCACAGTATTACAGCTCCTCGAACCCTAAATCCGGGAACACGAGACTTTAAAGCCACGCCACCCGCCGCAGGCGACGAGGCGCGCCAAACGTCAGCTGGCGATAAGAATGATAGCGACAGCAGTGAGAGAACCCTAAGTCAAACTCTAAGCCCCCCCAAAACCCGAAAAAGCAACAGGACCACATCTAAACATGCACAAAGGAAACTCGACACCGCAGTAAGACTGAGAGCCCGAGTGTCTATAACGAACCTTGGAGTCTCCGGCACGCGAAAAACTTTGGGATATGTAAAGCATGTGGGTAGTTCTCTAAAGTAGGGTCCCTTTTCGGGCACCTTCCCTTGTAGGATCCTTGCTACAAGGGTGCCGTACTACTTGGGGGACNNCCCTTATTTAGAGAACTACCCATGTCAGACTGGTAGCCCCTCACCGGTTCGACGCTCTACGGGTTCTGGAGGTTGGCGGGTTAGAGGTTCCATAAGGTTAGTATAAGGGGTTCAGTACTCTACAGGTTTTATAGGTGTCACTTTGAAACTTACAGCTTAAAGACCGCACGGAGAATTAGCACAACCTGGCATGGTCGCGGATTTCGGTGCTTGGGGATGGAGCTCTTGTTGCGAAACTTGGATTTTTTGACACTATCCAGCTTCTCAATGACACCACTTATGCCATGCTACGGTCTGGCGTTTCATTAAATACCCACTCACACATATCCGTTCCAGCATGCCTCGGCGGTTGCAGGTGTGTTGGGCAAGAAACGCCACAACTTTCCTCGGTAGGAAGGTCTTCTCTCGCCCAATCCTAGCTTGCAGTTGAGGGTTTAGGGTTTAGGGTTTATCCTACGTCCTTTTAGTTCTAATGAGTCAACCCGGGAACACCTTACAGCGTCAAGGTCCCACGACTCATAAAACCCCCCCTAAATCCAGGAAGCTCTAAATTTATGCCCTGAACCTTAGACACCTTAAACCGTGAAGTTTTGCCTCCAAACCCTCACAGGACCCTAAAATCTTAAACCCCAAGCCCTGCACCCGAAACCCTAAATCAAGTGCTTTTGAGCACGAAACAGTAAA